AACTAACAAATGTGTTCCATTTACATTTTGCATTTTTAAATGCTTTGGGTCTAGTTTACAGAGAAAACTTTATAGAGCCAGGCTTTTTTAAATAAAACATGAGACAGGAAGAATATTTTGAGTAATAAGATGAAGCCAGCAATATTTCCCAAGAGATCTTCAAAGACAAACTATAATCCTTCTTAGTGAGTTACCCATCTAATAAAACTCTAATGAAAAGGCAACTCTATACTGATTTTTCTTCACATGTTGGAGCCAAATCCAAAATTCAGAAGTGACACACTTACACGCCTTCCTCAGGTCCAAAGACACAGTGGTACTGCTGCACCACAGAGCAGCAGACTGCAAATAAGTTGCTGCACGACCAAGTTTCATTGAGTCAAGTGTGATTATTCATGAAACTATTTTTATGTCTGACACTTAATTCTCTGTCTTCACTGTCACCTTGATCTTCCACACACTACTTAATTCAGGTACTATTCTAGAAAGTATTTGCTCACCATCTTTAAAGCCATGAATTAATTAAAGATTAACTCCAGTGACTGTTTCCTTTCTAAACAGACATGTGCTTCCATTGGCTTATGTTGCTCTGAGTCTTTGTTGGCCACAAGTCACTCAGAACTGACCTTTCTCTTTTGACAATGTTCAGCCTAAGTCCTCCAAAGCCAATGATCTGTTACAGTGTAGATTCTTCCTGGATTTAAAACACTTGCGTTTAAAAATATGTGGGCACCCAAAAAAGAAAGAAGAGACACTTCTCTTTTGACAACCTGAATTATTGTCAGAGAAGAAAGTAGTTTGTTAAACTTTCCATGTAAACCTACACATAGAATCATTTCCATCATTAGACCATATTAATTGTTCAGTAACTGATTAAGCCTTAAGTTTAGCAAACCAGCCATACAGTTTATTACACTTGATTCTGTCATCAGAGTGTTTTAAAGCCAAGAAAATGTGACAAAGCTAATGCATTTTTAAATAACTGCAATAATTGAAAACTAAGGTCAACTCTCAAAATGTCGCTTCTTTGTTCTGACACCATCTCTGACTCCACAAATATTTTTAACACAAAAACATTTTAAATATTCTGTGACTTCAACAACTATATCTGACATTCAATAAATGTAGTAGGGCTTAAATGACTGTCAAATGTGGGAATGATGAACTAGGGAGTAGCTCAACTCCATGACATGGAAATTATAAGTGTCCACATTTTCAATGAAGACACTGATGTACGTACGAGGAGTTGGAATAGCTTATCTGATATCACTCAGCAAATAAAATTGGCATTACACTCTGAAGAAAATGACCTGACTATAAATTCACTTTCATCTCTGGAACACACTAACATATAATGTGAAGTTGATAAAGGTTACTTATTCTTTCAAGTGATAGATACATTCTACTTTTTTCAAACTTTGTTCTAGGGAATTTAAAATGTACAGAAAATAGAATTGTGTAATGAATATCTATGTACCCAATGCCTAGCCCCAATAACAATTAATCCATCATGCTTCATCCATACCTCAATTCACTACCCACAAACCAGAGTATAGATAAGCAAGTCCCAGTCTCCTGATTCTATCTGTAACTATTTCAGAATGGATCCCTTAAAAATCAGGATTCTTGTTTGTAAGGTCATGACAATACAATTATTTCACCTATAACATTAATTCCCTTAAGAATATCAAAAAACCTCTTGGTGTACAAATTGTATACTGCCTGTGAATTAGGAACCAAATAAGGTCTACCCATTGTGATTCGTTGGTCTACTTTTTCCATTGTTTTAATCCATCAGTTTCCCTCCATCCTCCTTTCTCTTTGCTATGTGTTGAGGAAACCAGGTCAAAACACAATCTCAGAACACTGTTTTAGTTCTTCACTAGCCACAGGAACCTTCCTTTTAAAAAAGGTTCATTTAAGTATCTTTTAAATCATCTACATATCTTGAAATAATCAGAGACTCGGAGAATTCAAGTGCAGGTAACATTAAGAAAATGTATGAATCGAGGTTTTTCTTTCTTGCTATTTCCAGAACTTAGATCAAGTTTTAATCCAAGCACTCACTTTTGTCATCCTTCAAAAGCATTTACACAACCATGCTAACTTTGCATAAATGGAACAAATAATATATAGATCAGCGGACATGTAGAAATACCTAAGAATAAAATAGTAATGCAACTTTACTACTCAACTGAAAAAGGAGTAGAAAAGTTAAACCCAAAAGATGTACAACAGGGGCCAAAACTCAGGTAATATAATGGAGACACTCAGGACATAACTGGCCACAGTGCCCTGTGTGTGGTAGTTAGCATCACTGATTTAATAACAATTTCTAATTTTCATTCTATGTTTCATCCCCCCAAATTTTGCCTCTTTTGTATTAGACTTTACTTTAAAATTAACTTGACATGTAAAAATATAAAATAAAATAACAAAAACAACTTGACATTTTCATTTCTCACAAGTGTAGTTAACTTTCAGATAAAATAAACAACATGGTAATAGTAACACATAACAAAAGATGACCCATTACAATTACTTGACAAAGAACAGCTTGGGCTTTTCTTTAAACTAAGGAGGCAACAGTGCCCCGCACACTACAGATTATTTTATTGAAACAAAAGGGCATTTTGATTTGTTGTATAATATATGTTTCCTCAGGAAACACGTAATATTGAATGGGTCAAAGCTCCTCAGAAATGAAAAATAAAACCCTTTAGAAAAAGATTGACAAATTGGCAATGACACTTTTCTATCTTTGTTTAAATAACACCCAACCTAGATGTTTATTTGTTCCAACTAGCTTTTCCTTATTATCACTAGAAATCCATTGCAGCATATATAAGAGCTGCAGTTTCTCGTTCTTACTCACCTTCTTTTGTCATCTTTGGACAAATAACTGGGAGGACACATTTTGACCAGCACAATTCTCAGCCCTGAGAAGGACCCTCACACAGAGGTAGGTACATGGAAACATTGTATGAAGTCTTTCTACTTTGAATACTAAACTTTTCATTTTTTTAAAAATGTTTATTGAATTTATTACAGTAACACTGGATAACACACCTATGTACATTTCAAGTGTACATCATTCTATAATAATAATTCTATATAATTCTACAATACATCATTTGTATATTGCAGTGTGTGTTCCCCTCCTGCTGCCATGCCCCCTCCATCACCACTGTCCCCCTTTACCCTTTTCTACCTCCCCAACCTCTCTTTCCCTCTGGAAATCACCATACTGTTGTTTGTGTCTATGACGGGAGTGCTTTTGGCTTAATCACTTTGCCTTTTTCACCCAGCCTCCCAGTCCCTTTCCCCAATAAATCTATCAGTCTGTTTTCTGTTCCTATGAATCTGTTTCTCTTTTGTTTGTTAACTAATCCTGTCCATCAGATTCCACATATAAGTGAAGTCATATAGTATTTGTCTTTTCTCTGACTGGCTTATTTCTCTTAGCATAATGCTCTTCAGGTCAATCCATGCTGTTCCAAAAAGGAAGATTTCCTTCTTTTCTACAGTGGAGTAGTGGTCTGCTGTGCAGATGGACCATGGCTTTCTGACTCCTTCACCTGTTAATGGCCACTTAGGCTGCTCCCAAATCTTGGTGATGGTCATTAATGCTGCAACGAACATAGGGTGCATATATTTTTTTCAAATCACTTTGAGATTTCTTTTGGACATATTCCCAGAAGGGAAATTGCTGGGTTATAAGGCAGTTCCATTTTTATTTTTTTTGGAAGCTCCATATTGTTTTCCTCAGTGGCTGAACCAGTCTGCATTTCTACCAACACTGTGCAAGGGTTTCCTTTCTCCACATCCTCACCAGGACCTGTCATTTATTGATTTATTGATGCTGGCCATTCCGACAAGATATTTCATTGTGCTTTTAATTTGCCTTTCTTTGATGATTAGTGATGTTGAGTACCTTTTCATATACCTGTTGGCCATCTGCATGTCCTCTTAGGAGAAGTGTCCATTCAGGTCTTTTGCCCATTTTTTAATTGTATTTGTTCTGGGGTTTTCTTGTGTTGAGTTTTTAAGTTCTCTATAAATTTTGGGTATTAACCCTTTATCAGAAGTATTGTTCGTCAATATGTTCACCAATTCAGTGGCTATCCTTTCATTTTGTTGATAGGTTGGTGTATGACAACTTTTTAATTCCATGTAGTCCCATATGTCTGTTTCTTCTTCTGTTCTCCTCCCCAAGGGGATATATTAGAAAAATATTGCCATGAGAAATGTCTGAGATCTTACCGCTTATGTTTTCTTCTAGGATTTTTAAAATTTCGACGCCTACATTTAATCTTTAATTCATTTTGAGTTTATTCTTGAGAATGGTGAACAAATGATCTGATTTCATTTTTTCACATATTGATTCAACTTTCCCAACACCATTTATTGAATAGACTACCTTTACCTCATTGTATGTTGTTGCTGCTTTTGCCAAAAATTAGTTGACCATAAAGGCATGCATTTATTTCGGGGTCTCTCTTTTGTTCCACTGATCTATATATCTGCTTTTATGCCAGGACCACTCTGATTGGTTCCGAAACTTTTAAAGATATCATTTTCATGGGCTTTTAGAGAACATCCATTTTTCACTAAAATAATATGTGACTTACATGAAATTTGGTAAGTCATAAAATCCATTACATCTTGTGAAATTCTACATGTCAAAGGAAAGCATTTATGTCAGCACTTAGGACAATTAATCCAGCCAATTACACAATCAATCAATTCTTCCCCCTGATGTGCCTTAACATTTTTTGAGCTTCATAATGACCAGAACACTATCAAATAAACCCTAAGAGAATTGAATTGTTCTACAGTACATGTTTACTCTTAGTTTTGACTTGTTTTTTAAATGTTATCCAAGAATGTGTCAGAGGAAAAGTAATACTTAAAGAAAAAGCTATCTGCAGGTATAATGGAATATTCAGTAAAATTTGTTCCTAAGATTCTTTTAGGACTTGTTCAGTCAACACACTCACCTGATAGGTAGAGCTGACTACTAGAAAGCCAGTCTTCACAGACATGCATGTACTGCTCTCCCAGAACACAGGCTATCATGAACCTGAAATTCGTTGTAAATTTAAAGCCGATTGAGAGAAAAACACCTGGACGTATCCCCAATTCTGCCTTGGTCTTTGATGTACATTATACGTAGTTTTGGAAGTAACTTGAGATTGCTTATCATGGAATAAAACAACTTAGTAGAATGTTGTTAAAAATAGGATCTATATTACATGACAATTTTTCCTTCAACTGCAGTTTACCCATGAACATCATAGGGGTTGGGGGTGCCAATGCCCCACAGTAGAAAATCCAAGCATAATCTTTGACTCACATGTCATCCTTCAGTGTCTGCAGACTGATTGATTTTTGGTCACTCATGTATACAAAAATCTGTGAAGGCTCAAGTCCCTTATATATACTACGGTGTAGAAAAAGGCACACAGTTGGCCCTCTATGCCCACAGATTCCCAGTGAGAAGATCAAAACCAGTTTCAATCTTCAGTTGGTTGAATCTGTGAATGCAAAACCTAGGGATATGGAGTGCCCACTATATATTTACTGGAAAAAAACTCAATATAAGTGGACACCTGCAGCTCAAACCTGTTTTGTTCAAGGGTCAACTGTCTTTGAAATGCACCCTTTTTCAGACTTGAACATCGTGATATTTTATAATAGGCACCGCATTACCTTATAAATTGGTTTTAGAGGTATTACTATAACTAAATCATATGTTTTAAATTTTATTTCTTGGTGAAAAGATTAAGCCAAATAAAAACCCTCAGAGACTAAATTATGGCCATTACCAGAGGGAAATGGGGTGGAGGTGGCAAGACAGGGTGAAGAGGGCCAACTGCAAAGACATGGAAGGAGACGGACTTGGAGTGGTAAACACACAGTACAGTACACAGATGATGTGATATGGAATTGGACACCTTACACCTATATAATTCTGTTAACCGATGTAATACCAACAACTTCAATAAAAATATATGAATAAATGTTCCTTGAGACATCTCAATAGTAAGAAAAAGACTCACCTTAAAAGAAAATATATGAAAGTAAAAATATTACTCATCAGAGTTCTGTCAAATAAAGCATTTATGAACAACTTATTGCCATTATCTCCTATGTCTAGCTTACAAGTCAAAAGTGAAAATGAGTTTCATTATTTCATACTTCCACATCAGAAGCCTAATAGTATTGCTCCTTCTTAATACTGAGTCCAAAATAAAATTAGACAATCTTCTTAACATGCTATACAGTACTATTTGTACACTGTTTCAAATACCAGTGGTTGGGACACTTTCAAAACACAAGGAATATTGATCAGCCATTGTGCTTATTTCCAGGAGTAACAGTAAGGATGAAATCACTGTGCCTACTCTTGGGCCTCTTGGCCCTTCAAGCCTGTTTCTCGGTAAGTCTCCTTAATCACCCTTCATATTTCTCATGCAGCTACTAGTCAGAGTTTTCACACTAATGATGTTACTATTCCTTATATATTAGCAGCTCTCAATCACTGTTCTACTGCTTAATTTCCACTTAAATTATACATCTAGTGTAATTGAAATGGCCACACATAGCTCATGGCTACCACATGCCACTGTTTAGTTCTGTAATATCTGACTGCATTACACGGACAGGAATAAAACTGCGTACACATACATTAGCAACTTCACAAGCAGGGAAACTCATTTCTTGCAATTATGTCCAATACACTTAGTGACATTTTTGAAATATATTTGGCTATGTTCTTTACTTTGATTGGGATTTTGTTTCTTCATCTACATAAGGGCATAGTTAAAACAGAAGAATTTTATCAACATAGGCTTCATGTATTATCTACATCAGAGTAAACTGACTCACTTATTAAAAATATAGTGAGCCAAGCCACATCCCAGAATGAATGAGTGTTTGACAGTAAGACCCAGAAATATGCATTATTCCAAGGACTCAGGAAACATTTCACAAGCTGTAATATTTATATCAATAAACACCTCCCAGGAGTAGAGGACTGGGTTAAGCACCACCGAGGCTTCTAAATATTCAAACCATATTCAAAATTTTAACGGTTAAAAAAAGCTACAAGTTTTGGTGTTCCATAAGGAATAGAGTAATAGTCAGCTAAAAAGCAGGGATAGGTTCATTTCAGTTTGGGGAAAGAGATAAACTCCAGAGGAATTTCTACCAAAGAAAATGAATAAATATTAACACATTAAAGAATAAATACATTGAGGTTTTAAGTATTCATATCCTAACCGAATGGTTCCTAAGCCAAGAAATGGAAGAAATTAGCTTCCTTTTATTCCCCTGAGAGAGTAATTTTTCTTTCTCACATAGTATCTTCATCATTTCTACCAAGTTCATTATCATTGTCCACTTGTGAAAAGGAAGCTATTTACTGTGGCTAATGTAAAAGGCTACAAAAAAACAGATATTGAGTACAGAGATTTTTGGCATTGCACATAACTTTTAGATTGATACCCAGGATATGCTCAGGAGATAAAGGTACTTTCAGAAAAGTCACTGTCTCAACAGGGCAAATAATGGGAAGTATTCTTCCACACTAAGGATTTGGAGTTTCTGCAGATTGAAAGACAAGTCTTGAACTTTTCAAACACCCTGATCTAGCCTTTGGATTGTCAGCACTTGGGTCAAATGCCCTTCCCAATTCAATACACTGTCACTAAGTAGGGAGGGCTGACATAACAGGTTCAGAGCTGTGACTAGGCATTTTGTGTTGGATTGGTGACACCAAAGAAAGTGTTTCACTGGCATGCTGGGGACAAAAGTCAGTTCGAAGAGTGGCTCACGAATGAGAGGTGGGATCAGTGTCAGCAAACCTATGCTACCCTTTCAGAGAGTTTTGCTGTCAAGGACAGAGGTGAAGAGAAAGAGGTGACAAGAAAATGCATGATTTCTTCCTTTAAATATATCACAGAAATCGAAAAGTCAAGCAATGAATGATGGTGGTGGAGTAGGCCAAAGGATTTCTCTTCCCCCCCCTCATTGGAGAAAAACTGAGCTGATGTGCAGAGAGCACAGTGGACAGCCGACAGGGACCCAGCATATAGGAAGGTAGGGTTCCAGAAATTGGAGCAGACTCTGAATGACCAGATGGTGAGGAGAGACACATGCAGGTCAATAAGGTTTGAGGGAACAGTGCAGAGGCTGCAGGCCATCCACCGGGCCGCTCCAGGGCCGGGGCTGGTCCACCTCATTCCCGGGGTGGGCCTCAGTCTCTGGAAGCTAAGGGCTGGCTCAAGGACTTTGGGAGAGAGCCTGTCAGCAGCTCCCTCCCTACCCAGCTGGGCATAGTTTGAAAAACACCAAGAGAGATCTGTTTTCTTGGAGTATCAGGGAGAGGAATGGGTATAAAGAAGCAAAACAGAGAGCTTTGATCACACGTGGAGTCTGTGGCCACTGGCTTGGGAGAATTGAGAGTCACACTTGCGTCCCTTGTTGCACTGGGCCTGGGCCGGGTCTGCTGGGTCTGCTGTGGACTCTGGGAGCCTAGGGCCGGCTGCAGGGCCCCTGGGAGAGAGCCTGTCACCAGCTCCCTCCCTACCCACCAGGGCGGGCGCAGTTTGAACATTGCCAGGAGAGATCTGTTTGCTTGGATTATCAGAGAGAGGAGTGGGTATGAAGAAGCAAATCAGAGCATTGATCACACATGGAGTCTGTGGTCACTGGCTTGGGAGAATCAAGAGTCGCCTTTGCGTTCCCCCATAGCACTGGGAAGGGATTCGTGCCCAGGCTGGTGGGACAGAGAAGCCTGGCCCGAATGCATGCCCACACCCCAGGCCAGGACTGTGAATTCTGGGAAAAGTCTGCTGTCAGTGGAGCACTAAGGAGAGGATCTTGGGAGAGCAATCATGAGACTGGCTGAGCTCACCGAGAAGGGAGAAAAGCAGCACTAATCGACCCTTAAACTGCTGCAGCTAGTGTGACCGGAAGAAAAGGCTTGACCAGCTGGAAGCCAACAAGAGGGTTTGTTTGTTTGTTTAATATTTTTATTTTTTAACTTTATTATTGTTTTATATTTCAATGCTTTTACCCTCTCTCTTCTTGTTTCTTGTTTCTTCTTATTCCTTCTTCCTTTCTTTCCAAACCAAACCTACCACTTTTTCCTCCCTTCTGCTACCATTTTTTTGTTTATTATTCACCCCCTCTCCCCCAAGTGAGACAAAAGACTTGGAAAAGGGAAAAGACCAGAGTTGGACTCAAAGAGGGGGCATCCCAACAGTGGAGACAGAGAGACAAAATTCACATTGCTATAACAAAAAAACTACAAGTTACTGCATATTTGATTTTTTCATTATTTCTTCATTATTATTACATCTTCTATTTTAATGGTATCTCTGTATTCTTCCTCTTTCTGTATAGTCTTCTTTACCTTGGCTGGATATACTGTATCACTTGACAGGTTTCCCCTGTCCCCTCAACCATAGTGTATTGCTAATTTACTGTCCTTTACTTCCCCGGCCCAGTTAACAAACTATTGAAAGTCCAATACTCCCTAATCTTGGTATATTATAGATTCTGTCATATGATTGTTGCTCTAATATTATTGTAAATAATATTTGTTGCATGCTGTTATAAATACTGCAGAACAACCCCCCCCAGATCTTAGCCCACTACATTGTTGCCTGAACTATAATACTGCAGTGGTTGACTCTGTTCTCTCTCACACTACACCTATTTACCACTCCTTATTCTCACCTTACCTCAGAATCTGACCTCCCTCAAACTCACTCCTTTCTGGATCCAAATCACAAGCCTTCCCTCCCCAACAAGAGCCTTATCTTCCTTCCACCCTTTCTGTAAAGTGGCCAGGTGGGTTGAAGATTACGGTTGTCACTGTACATAGTCAGGGGAGCTCCTATCTCTTCTTTACTGGCTTATACTGTACATATCATAAAATACTCTCCTGCTGTCATAAACCAGTTTGCCTTCCCCTCCAACTGATCAAAAAAAAAAAAAAGAATAGGTGGAAGCAGTGAGCACCAGGATACCCAAAGGAAGAGGAAACCCAACAACAAAGGAACCACCAACAGACAACAACAGATGAAGGTGAAGGAGGGAATAGAAACCACACAAACCTCAACCCAAGACCTATCTGAAAATACAACTAAACAGCAGAGAAACTGCCCAGGGCAAACAACTGAACAAAAGCAAAACACAATCTTCAAAACCATGTATATGCAGAAGATCTACCTTCAACACAACCTGCCCTCACCAGCACAGCAAATTAAAATGGGTAGAAGACAAAGGGACCATCGGTTCACCAGCGGGTGGGAAGAACCCACAAAAAAAGACCCAGAAACAACAAAAACCCAAAGACAAACTCAGAGTCAACATTAAGGACATCCCAAGACCAGTGATTTGGGGAGATCAAGGAGACTACACCACTGAATTTCACAGGTATT